AAACAGAGGTTAAGTGACTTGTCTGAAGTCACACAGCTACTGTCATGTCTTTGTACTTATTTGAATAAGCATTGTATGTATTTCCCACCCTACTCAGAGTAGAGCATAAGCTCTATTAGGGCAAAGATTGCTTTTTCTCTTTGCCTTTTTGTTCCCAGGGCTTAGTTCAGTGCCTTCCACATAAGTAAGTGGTTAACTCAGGCCTGTTGAACTGAATTTAACTGAAGTATGACCCTGTCTAACACAATGCAGTTTTCCCCATTTCTTCTAAAATTTATTCCTTATTATGGATTGTAGCCAAAGCAGTACTTGTTGGAAATTTTATATCTCTAAACTCTTACATCAATAAAATAGAGCAAGAACAGATCAATGAATCAAGCATGCAACTAAAAAAACTGGAAAAAAAACAAATTAAAAATCCTACGGGACAGCTAAGTGGCATAGTGAATAGAGCTCTGGCCTTGCAGTCAGGAGGATCCAAGTTCAAATCCAGGCTCAAACATATAACACTTACTAGCTGTACGACCCTGGGCAAGTCACTTAACTCCTATCACCTCACCAAAAAGCAAAAAAAAAAAAAAAAAAAAGCCTAAAAAAACAACAAAAAAGAAATCCTAAAAAACAAAGGAGAAATTAATAAAATTGAACCTAAGAAAACCATTGAACTAATAAATAACACTAGGAACTGGTTTTATGGGGAAAAAAACCAATAAAATAGATGAACTATTGGTTAATTTTATTTAAAAAAGGAAAGAAGAAAGCCAAATTACTAGTATTAGAAATGAAAGAGGTGAATTCACCATCAACAAAGAGGAAATTAACACAATTGTTAGGGGCTATTTTGCCCAATTATATACCAATAAATTTGACAATCTGAATGAAATGGATGAATAGCTACAAAAGCATAAATTATCTAAATTAGCAGAAAAAGAAACAAAATACTTAAATAACCCTATCTTAGAAAAAGAAATTGAACAAGCCATCAATGGACCTCCTAAGAAAAAATCCCCAGGACTAGATGGATTCACAAGTGAATTCCACCACACATTTAAAGACAATTGATCCCAATACTATAGAAACTGGAAAAACAGGCAAAGAAGGAATCCTACCAAATTCTTTTTATGACACAAATATGGTGCTGATACCTAAACCATCAAGAGCCAAAAGAAACTATAGATTTTCTCTTATGAATATTGATGCAAAAATTTTCAATAAAATACTAGAAGGAGATTAGAGCAATATATCACAGGGATCATACACTATGACTAGGTGGGAGTTATACCAGGAATGCAGGGCTGGTTCAATATTAGGAAAACTATTAGCATAATTTACCATATCAATAACAAAACCAATAGAAATCATATGATTATCTCAACAGATGCCAAAAAAAACTTTAACAAAATACAGTACCCATTCATATTAAAAACATCAGAGAGCATAGAAATAAATGGAGCTTACCTTAAAATGATAAGTAATATTTGTCTACAACCAACAGTAAATTTTATCTGTAATAGGGAATAAGCTAGAAACCTTCCCAATACAGTCAAGGGTGAAGCAAGGTTGCCCATTATCACCTCTATTATTTAATATTGTACTAGAAAAGTTAGCTATAGCAATAAGAGAAGAAAAAGAAATTAAAGGAATTAGAATAGGCAATGAGGAAACAAAACTCTCACAGGTAGCTGACGATATGATGGTATACTCAGAGAATCCTAGAGAATTAATTCAAAAACTACATGAAATTATTGACAACTTTAGTAAAGTTGCAGCATATGAAATAAATACACATAAATCACCGATATTGCTATATATTACCAATAAAGTCCAGCAGCAAGAGATAAAAAGAGAAATTCCATTTCTAATAACTATAGACAATATAAAACACTTGGAAGTCTACCTGCCAAGACAAACTCAGGTACTATATGAACACAACTATAAAATGCTTTTCACACAATAAAGTCAGATTTAAACAATTAGAAAAATATTAATTGCTCATGGGTAGGCTGAGCCAATATAATCAAAATGACACTTCTACCTAAATTAATCCATTCATTTATTGTCATACCAATCAAACTATCAAAATGTTATTTTATAGAGCTAGAAACATTAACAATAAAATTCATCTGGAAGAACAAAAGCTTAAGGATATCAAGGGACTCAATGAAAAACAAATGTGAAAGAAAGTGGTCTAGCCATTCTGGATCCCAAAGTGTATTATAAAACAGTAATTATCAAAACAATCTGGTACTGGCTAAGAAATAAAGTGGTGGATCAATAGAATAGACTAGGTATAAATTACATTATAGTAAATGACCATAGTAATCTAATATATGATAAGATCCAAGCTTTCAGAACAAAAACTTACTATTTGACAATATAGTCAATATAGCTGGGAAAACTGGAAAATAACATGACAGAAACTAGGTATAGACCAACATCTCACACCATACACCAAGATAAGGTCAAAATGGCTACATGATTTACACATAAAGGGTGATACCATAAGCAAATTAAGAGAGCATGAAATAGTTTATCTGTCACATTTGTGGATAAGGGAAGAATTTAGGACCAAAAAAGACATAGAGAGCATTATAAAATGTAAAATAGAATATTTTGATTACATAAAACTAAAAAGTATTTACACAAACAAAATTAATGCAATCAAAATTAGAAGGAAAGCAGAAAAAGGGGGGGAAGGGAAGGGGAAATTTTGTAAGAAGTGTCTCCGATAAAGGCCTAATTTCTCAAACATACAGGGAACTGAGTCAAATTTATAAAAATACAAGCCATTCTCCAATTGATAACTGGTCAAAGGATATGAACGGGCAGTTTTCAAAGAAATCAAAGTTGTCTATAATCATATGAAAAAAATGCTCTAAATCACTATTGATCAGAGAAATGCAATTTAAAACAAGTCTGAGGTTCTACCTCACACCTATCAGAAAGGCTAATACGACGAAAAAAAAGGGAAATGCTGGATGTTGGAAGGAATGTGGAAAACTAGGACACTAATGCACTGTTGGTGGAGTTGTGAACTGATCCAACCATTTTAAAGAGTAAATTAGAACTATATCCGAAGGGCTATAAATCTGTGCTTGCCCTTTGCTCTAACAATATCACTGCCAGGTCTGTATCCCAAAGAGATCCAAAAAACGGGAAAGGACCTATTTGTACAAAAATATTTATAGCAGCTCTTTTTGTGATGGCTAAGAATTGGAAATCAAAGGGATGCCCATCAATTGAGGAATGGCTAAACAAGCTGTGGTATATAATGGTGATGGAATATTATTGTGCTATAAGAGATGACAAGCAGGATGATTTCAGAAAAACCTGGAAAGACTTACATGAACTGATGCAAAGTGAAGTGAGTAGAACCAGGAGAACATTGTACATAGTAACAGCAACATTGTATGATGATCAACAACAAATGACTTAATTCTTCTCAGCAACACAGTGATCCAAGATAATTCCAAAAGACTATGATGGAAAATGCTATCCACATCCATAGAAAGAACCATGGAGTCTGAATGCAGATTGAAGCATACTGTTTTCACTTTATTTTTTTCACTTTTTTCCCTTTGGGTCTATTTCTTCTTTCTTCCATATCATTAATATGGAAATATCTTCTACATGATTATACATATATAACCTGTATCAAATCATTTGGGGAGGAGGTAGGGGAGAGAGGGAGGGGGAAAATTTGGAACTGAAATTTTTTAAAATGAATGTTAGAAACTGTCTTTACATGTAATTAGAAAAGTAAAAACACTATAGATTCTTTCCAAAAAATAAAATAAAATTTATTCCTTATAAAAGAGATTTTTAATTGGCTTAATAATCACCAACAAAAACATATAAATAAACTTAGAAAATAGTGGGTAAAATCTCAGCCAAAGGACAAGGGACACTCATATAGTAGGCATATGCAGGTTACAATGCATTAAAAATCTAGTAAATACACTGGATGAGTAGTGTAAAGGCTTGTTTTCATACAGATGGAGTAAGGTTTAGAATCCCAAAGTCCAGAACAGGAATGAGCACAAGACAAGAGTCAGCAGAGAGAAAGGAAAGAAAGCTAGATCAGTTGAGGGGAAATGCTCACAATAAAGGAAGACAGTCAGGGAGGATGGAAACAAATCAGTTTTACTAGGACTTGATGAAAGGAGGAATGTCAAAACAGGTAAAATCTGATGGGTTTTACAGGGTTCTTATCTGGGTCAGGTAGGACCAGGCCTTGTGGGGAAGGAGAGAGACAGCTGGTCATAAAGACAGGTGCTGATGCCTGGGAGGAGGGGAACATCAAGGGAATCAGCAGCAAGCTCACAGTCCAACTCCCTTCTGGCATAAAACTCTCTCTGACAGGATCAGTCAGGAGATGGGAGCATTTCTCATGCTTCATTCTCAGTAAGGATGTGGCAGGGAGGCTACTGAAGACCTTCCATGCCTGCATGGGGCCAAGAGAAAAAATACACAATTCTTTTCCCTGTCTTAATATATTTTATTTTTAGGGTGATTTACTTGATGAGTCATATCCAGTTCCTTAGGGAGTCTATATGCCTGCAGACTTTCCCTATGTTATTGATTTAGAAGTAGTATGAGATGTTTTACAGAGCATGCACGCACGCGTGTGCGCACACACACACACACACCCCTCCCTCTCCTTACAACGAATAATTGATGGTTGATGATATAATGGGAGTTACAATCTTGGTGGGGCAGAGTTGGTGGTAAGAATAGGGGTGTGGGGAAGAGTAAAGACACAATTGTGATTCTCAGTGGCATTGCTGGAGGCTCTGTAATCCCACCTAGGGCTTCCAGGAGCTCAATGCAGTTGTCTAACTCTAAATGGCACAGACAAATAATTAAAATGGTAGTACAATTTCTCAGGTATTTCAAGGAAGTTGTTGGGAGGACTATGTTGGTGTCTACAAAATGCTCTCCCAATCTACGTGCATTTATAACAAAAACAAAAACAAAAACATAAAAACACAACTTCTTACCTCTCCCCTCCTTCCCTCAGCCCATAGCACTAGCACTAAAGACAGGTCAAGTCTCCAAGATGTCACCTTCCTCACACTGTCTGAGGGGCCACTCTGGCCCCCAAATCATCTTTGTTGTAGGAGAATCTCTCACACAGCCAGTAAAGGTAGACACAGAACTCCAGAGGCAGGTACAGTTAGAAGGAGTCCCCAAGAAAGCTGGAGGACCTGTTATCAGTGCTAGAAGCCAGAATATCGACAGATGAGAAACGGCAAGGAAAGTGGCAGGTCAGGTGGCTAGTGTGATAGGAGAGAGGTCCAACAAAAGCAAACATTGCTGTAGCAATGTTTATTATAGCTGCAAGTTCTCTGCCATATCTGATCTTATTTGGGGAGGTTATTAAAGGGTCTGAATCAGGATATATTTTAAAGCCTATAGAGGAGAGCCAAGATGGCAAAATAGCAGGATGAGTTCCCTAACACAACTCCTCCACAAAGATCTAGAAAATAACCAGACCACGTCCTGATTGGGAAATCCAAGGGAAAAAAATCACAAGGACATATTTCTAGCCCAGGTCAGCATAGAGAGGCAGACAGGTAGATACATAGACATTAGGGAAAGAAGAGGTGCCAGACACATACAGGAAGACCCCTCCCATGTGCAGGATTCAGGAAGAGGAATGCTGCCAACTGGCAGCTCTATCATTCATTACTCAGTTGTTGGTCACAGATCCAGGGAAGACTGAGGAGGGGAATCTACACCTGGCATTGCAAGGTAGAGTGGTTCTGGGTCCTAGGCTGTGTATTGAGCAAGGAACAAGTTCAAAAATAAACAGTACTTGTGTTTCTCTTCTAGCTTCCAAGGCAATCTGAAGCTTGCAGAAGAATAACCAGGGCAGGAATCTCACACCTACAGGGTAACAGGTAGTTATGTAGCTCTGCACCTGCAGAGCCTTTGAGATACAGATAGTGGCTGAGTCTAGTAGCAATCTACTGGAACTTCCAACCAGAGGCAAGCCCAAAGGTATAAGAACTTGCAGAGATTGGAAAAGAAGAATCAGATTTGGCCCCAGATCAGACTACTTTGGGAGCTCTGAAAGCTTGCACCTCTCCAGCTTGAGCTGTCTCTGAGATCCTGCAATAACACAACATTCATTACCCCTAAGAAAGCAGCAGAAGGACCCAAAAGAATAAAGTTCACATGAGACATTCCTCATAGAAGCTCACAAAGCATGAGGTTAATATAATGTCCGAAGTCAGGAAGTAGGTGAGAGAATAAGTGAAGAAAAAAAGAATTCCACCATCAACAACTATTGTTGGGACAGTGAAACTCAAGGCACAAACCCAGAAGAAAAGAATGAGTACAAAATATCTACAAAGTTTCAACAAAAATGGTTCAGAATTCCTGGAAAAGATGAAGTAAGAGTTATTGTTATTCTTTTTTAAAAAGAGCTAAAAATGGTTTTAAAAATCCAAAAAGATCACTAGAGGTGGAAAAAGAGAAAAGAAATGAGAGGTAGGGGAGGAAGATTTAGACAGAGAATTAACAGCTTGCAACAAGAAGTATAAAATCTTAAACCCAAAAACCAAACTCCTCAAAAATTAGAATGGACTAAATGCAAGCTAATAATTCCATGAGACAATAAGAATATTAAAACAAAGTGAAAAGAATTTTAAAAATTAGAAATTGTGATGTATCTCATAGCAAAAAAAAAGAGTTGGAAAATAAATTTAGGAGAGAGAGTTTAAAAATCACTAGACTACCTCATAGTCATGACAAAAAAAAAGAGCCTAAGATGCCATATTTTAAGAAATCTTAAAAGAAAACGATCCCTATTTCTTAGCACTAGAAGACAAAGTAGAAACAGAAAGAATCTACTGGTCATTCCCTGAAAGAACCCTCAAAATGAAAACTCCCAAGAACATTTATAGCCAAAATCCAGAGCTTTCAGTTATTAAAAAATTACTGCAAACATCCAGAAAAAAAATCTTCAACTACTCTGAAGCCATGGTTAGGATCAGTAATTACTACAAAGGAGCAGAGAGCTTGGAATGATATAATGCATAGGTCAAAAGATATAAGCTTACAACTGAGAATAACTTACCCAGCAAAACTGAGTATAATCCTACAGTGGAAAAAAAAAATAGACTTTGCTGAAATATAGAACTTTGTAGCATTCCTGATGAAAAGACCAGAACTGAATAAAGACTTTGATACATGAACAGAGGAGTCAAGAGAAACTTTTATATAAAGGTAAAAAGGGCTTAGGAGCAGTTCTCTCATGTTTTGATGATATTAAAAAAAAAAGAATGGAAAGGCAGTGGAAGAGGAAAACACCAATGGGGGAAGGTAGAAGAAGAACAGGGGAAAGTATCTCATCTAACTGTGATGCACAATTAGAAGATACAAACAAGGAGGAAGGTTTGGGGGAGAGTGATGACACTTGAACTTTACTCTCTTTTGAATTGATCAAAGGAAGGACACACATACACACACACACACACACACACTAAATTAGGTACAGGAATACTCTTCAACAAAGAAACAGGAGGGAAAGGGAAAGGGGAATTATGAGGCAGGTATTCAAAAAAAGATTAGTTTTAAGAAAAACAGCAGAAGTGGGAAACAAATAAAGGAAAAGTATAAGAGAACAGGATAGAGGGAAATATATCATCTATAATCGTAACTTGGAATTTGAATGAGATGAACTTGCCTTTCAAAAGGAAGAGAATAGCAGAATGGATTAGCAGAATCCAACCATATGCAATTTATAAGAAACACCTTTGAAACAAAGATACGTACAAAATTAAAATAAGGAGCAGGAGCAAAGTCTCTTATACTTCAGCTGAAGTCAAAAAGATGGGAGTAGTCTCCATCATCTTAGACAGAACAACAGCAAAAAGAGACTTAATTTGAAAAGACACACAGAGAAACTACATTTTACTGAAAGGTACCATAGCCAATAAATTTATATCAGTAGTAAATGTATTTACACTAAATGGCACAACATCATAATAGTAAAAGGAAAAGTTAAGTGAGTTGTAGGGAACAATAATAAAATTATAATAGAGGAGGACCTCTACCCCTCTCAGACCTAGATAAACCTGAATAGAATTTTAGAAAAGTCAGATAATGGAGATTATGGAATAGAAATAGAAAAGAGAATACCTATTTCTTAACTGTATATGACATCTTTACAAAAACTGTGACTAAAGCATAAAAAACTCAGAAACACAGGAGAAGAAATATTAAATCTATCTTTTACATACCACAATGCAATAAAAATTGCATTCAATAAAGAACCATTGATGATGTGATTAAAAAGTAATTGGAGATGGAATAACTTTTCCACATATGGATCAGCCAAAGAATAAATCAGAGAAATAATCAATAATTTCACTAAAGATAATGGCAACAATGAGACAACATATCAAAATTTGGAGGATGCAACCAAAACATTGCTAAGGAGAAAATTTATGTCTCTAGGCATTTTCATCAATCAAAGAAAAAAAGGAAATTAATGAATTGAACATATAACTAAAAAAAACCTAGAAAACAAATAAATGAAAAAATGAAATTAAAACAAAGTCAGTTGATTCTTTGGCCCCTGAGTCAAGTCTGGCCCAGCTCCCTCTCTACTTCTCCAAGACTAAGGGTGAAGTTTCATTTGCCTCCTGAGGTGCCAGTTGTTTAGCAGGGGAGGATGGAAAACAACCAGCCCTTGTTTAGTGGAGATGCCACGGGGTCCATGCACAGCCTTTGTGTGCCCTGCAGGCACATGATCTTCTACATAATCGTGGACGTAAGTAGCTCTGCTAAGGCTCTCAAGGTATGGTTTTTTTCTCTTCCTGAGCCTAATAAGGATTTCAATGGTTTCTGCTCCTATGACTTTTTCAGTTTTATACATGATAAGTCAGGCAGCCAGTATTTGGTTTTGCAGCAGGTGGTAGCACTCAGCAGCTAGGGAAAGGTTATACACTAGATACTCATAGGTAGGAAGTGTCCAACATTCTTTGTCCTCACTACGAATCTAATCTGAGACCATTTAGTTCTCTGCCAAGTCACCACCTTGCACTAGCTATATTCTACTCCCTTCACCATCTTGACTCCTTGGAGAACCAGATCATCCCTATACTGTCTTCTTCTCTCTGATGCCTTGCCCCATATCTTGTTGACATTCTTTTCTCACCAAGTCTTAGCCTCAGATCACTCCCAACATCTACTGCGTGTACTCTTACTCATGTCCTGCTGAACAAAGGTGGAAAAAAATCATGAAACCTTATTGACTACATTCACTACAAATTAATGTTACATCATTTCAGGTGGGTCCTCATTGCATCAAGGCAATGATTCCCTATCTCACTCACCATAGCAGTTTTCCCAAACCTTTTCATCCCTCCTCAAATCCCTAAAGCACCCATGGCTCTCCACTTGCCACATCCTCTCAGCTGAGAATTCTGCCTTTTATTTCACTGAAAAAAATGAGGCCATTTGTCAAGGACTCCCTCTTTTCCTCTCTTCTTCCTCCTCATCTCACATCACTCAGGTGCCTTCTACTGATTTCCCCTCCTTAACCACCATCTCACCTGATGAAATAGACTTCCCCTTGCCTAGGCAAGCTGTTCTACATATGCCCTTAATCCTATCCCATTCCATCTTTTCTAAAATACTGTCCCCTCTATCATCTCCATTCTCTCACTCATCTTCAATCTCTCCCTGTCTCCCATCTACTTGCCTACTGCCCACAAACTTATCCCTGTCTCCCCATCTTCAAAAAACCCTCACTTCATCCATCCATCCTAGCTAACTGTGGTCTCATATATCTCCTCTGTTTTGGGACTACACCCCTTCAGAAGGCTACTTACATCAGATGCCTCCATTTCTTTTCCCCTTACTCTTTTCTTAACTTCCCGTAGTCTGGTTCTCAACCTCATCATTCAATGAAACTGGTCTCTCCAAAGTTACCAGTAATTGCTAATCAACCAAATTTAATGGCCTTTTCTCAATCTTCATCTTTCTTGACCCCTCTGCAGCCTTTGATACTGTCAATCATCCTCTTTTCCCTAATACTCTCTTCTCTCTAGGATTCTGTGATATTGTTCTCTCTTAGTTCACGCCCTACCTGTCTGGCTTCTGCTGGATCTTCATTCAAGGTCATGCCTGCTAACCATGGGTGTCCCCCAAAACTCTGTCCTGGGCCCTCTTCTCTCCCTGCTACTTCACT